GCGACTGGAGTGTAATGTCATTTTCCCCCTCTGGGCGAACTGCGGCGCAGCGCCAGCCAGGTGGAAGTTGGTCGCTGCGGCGCCCATGATTAGAGCCGGCGCTGGAAGGGAAAATGGGGAGGGTGTATGAAAAGGAAAGGGGGAAGGCCCCAAAGAAGCTCCCAGGAGGCCTCCAGGAGGCCCCCAAGAGGCTCCCAAGAGGCCCCGCGACGACGTGACTGTACGTGCTCCTGACGTGCACCCCGCGAAGCGAGAGGAATCCACGTCCGGAAGTGACGTGCTGAGCGGCAGCGTTTTTCGGCGAACGCCTTAATCGGCGAACGCCTTAATGCAACGTATCCAATGTATCCAATGATTGCAGAATTGCCACATCTTGCACTGTGTTACATTATTATGTCTCCCCCCTAACCCCCCTAGGAGCCGCGCCACAGGAACGGACCAAAATGATCGGCCCTCCTTCTGGGGTCCCACACCTACAAAAACCGATGACAGATCAACAAGTTCGGCCTCTTGGGCCTCTGGAGACTCCAAGAGGGCCTCAAGATGGCCCAAGATGGCCCCAAGACGGCGCAAGACGGCCCCAAGACGGCCCAAGATATTCCCAGCGGGGGCCCATGAGGCCCCCAAAAAAAGATAATACAAAATGATTATAAAAAGACAATGAATCAAAAAAAAACAAAGAAAATGAGGAAATGATATAAAACCTCAGAAACACCACCGTATCCTTTGGATACGGGGGAACAAGAAATCAATCCTTCGTATATGAGGAATAGCAAGAAAAAAAAAACTTAAATAAAAAAGAGGAGTGCAACATGGTATGGAAAAAACTACGCTAACTAAAACGGAAGGGCGGAGGAGGGCCGGCCCCAAGAGGGCCCGGAAAGCCCCAAGGACGGCCCAAGAGGGCCCCGAGAGCGCCCACAACTGCGCCTCCAGAAGCCGAAATTATTGATTTTCCTATGGTATTTGCAATAGTTTAGCGTTCTCGCCTTTTTCGGCTCTCAAAAATGCATGACGGCCCAAGCAGCTTCCAGAATCGCCCCAGAACAGCCCAAGAAGCCCCCAAGAGGGCCCCAAGACGGCCCAGGACGGCCCCAAAACGGCCCAAAGAGGCCCCCAAGACGGTCCAAGAGGCCGCGAAGACGACCCAAGAGGACCCCAAGAGGGCTCCAACGCGGCCGCGAGAGGCCCCCAAGACAGCCTCCGAGGGGGCGAAACGATGCAAAAGCGCCCCAAGACGGCCGAAGACGCCCCCAAGAGGCCCCGAGAGGCCCCCAAGAAGCCTCCAAGAAGTCCCCCAGAAGCCTCCAAAAGGGCCCCAAAAAGCCCCCCAAAGGCCACACAGCGACTGGAGTGTAATGTTATTTCCCCCCCTCTGGGCGAACTGCGGCGCAACGCCAGCCAGGTGGAAGTTGGTCACTGCGGCGCCCATGACTAGAGCCGGCGCTGGAAGGGAAGATTGGGAGGGTGTATGGAAAGGAAGGAAAGGCCCCAAAGAAGTCCCCAAGAGACCAAAAGAAACTCCCAGGAGGCCTCCAGGAGGCCCTCCCAAGAGACCCCGCGACGACGTGACTGTACGTGCTCCGGACGTGCACCCCGCGAAGCGAGAGTAATCATGTTCCCGGAGAGGCTTCCGGGAAGATGATTTCGCACGAGGCCCTCTTGGGCCTCCCTGAGGCCGTCGTGGGGGCCTCCTGGGCCAGCTTCGGGGCCTCTTGGGCCGTCTTGAAGTTCCGTGAGCCCCAAAGAAAGACCCTTGTTTGTGCCGCCTTGGGCCCTCTTGGGTCTCTCTTGGGCTGTCTTGGGGTTCCTCGGGGGCGTCTGGGGCACTGTGAAGACGAAGCAAGCGAGTATGCTAAAAATGCACGTTTTACTAAGGGAATGCATATTGAAGGCCCTCTTGGAGCCCTCCTCGGCCATCTTCAACCCATCTCGGGGCCTCTTGGGCCTCGCTGAGGCTGTCTTGTGGGCCTCTTGGGCGTCCTGGGAACCCGGAAATCCTGTTCCCGGAGAGGCTTCCGGGAAGATGATTTCGAACGAGGCCCTCTTGGGCCTCCCTGAGGCCGTCGTGGGGGCCTCCTGGGCCAGCTTCGGGGCCTCTTGGGCCGTCTCGGGGGGGCTCGTGAGCCCCAAAGAAAGACCCTTTTTTGTGCCGCCTTGGGCCCTCTTGGGTCTCTCTTGGGCTGTCTGAAGGCTCCTCGGGGGCGTCTGGGGCACTGTGAAGACGAAGCAAGCGAGTATGCTGGAAATGCACGTTTTACTAAGGGAATGGGCCGATGTTTGCATCTTGAAGGCCCTCTTGGAGCCCTCTTCGGCCATCTTCAAGCCATCTCGGGCCCTCTTGGGCCTCGCTGAGGCTGTCTTGTGGGCCTCTTGGGCGTCCTGGGAACCCGGAAATCCTGTTCCCGGAGAGGCTTCCGGGAAGATGATTTCGCACGAGGCCCTCTTGGGCCTCCCTGAGGCCGTCTGGGGGGCCTCCTGGGCCAACTTCGGGGCCTCTTGGGCCGTCTTGGGGGGGTCCGTGAGCCCCACAGCACGACCCTTTTGGGCCGTTTTGGGCCCTCTTGGGTCTCTCTTGGGCTGTCTTGGGGCTCCTCGGGGGCGTCTGGGGCACTGTGAAGACGAAGCAAGCGAGTATGCTGAAAATGCACGTTTTACTAAAAGGATGGGCCGATGTTGCCTCTCGAAGGCTCTCTTTGGGCCCTCTTCGGTCATCTTCAAGCCATCTCGGGCCCTCTTGGGGCGCTCTTGGGCGACTTGGGGCCCTCTTGGGCCTCGCCGAGGCTGTCCTGTGGGCCTCTTGGGCTGTCTTTGAGCCTCTTGGGCCGTCTTGGGCGGGTTCGTGGACCCCACAGGACGCCCAGGGCGACCATGCCAACCAGTGGCACCACCTCACCCCCGCCCCCGGGCCGATATATATATATATATATATATATATATACATACATACATACATACATACATACATACATACATACATACATACATACATACATACATACATATACATATATATATATATTTATATATATATATGTATATATGTATGTATGTGCATACATACATACATACATACATACATACAAATACACAAATACATGCATACATACATCACCTTACACTACATTACATTACATTACAATACATTACATTACATTACATTGCAGTACATTACATTACATTACATTACATTACATTACATTACATTACATTACCTTATCTTACCCTACATTACAATACATTACATTACACTACCTTACATTACATTACATTGCATTACACTACATTACATTACATTACATTACAATAAATACATACATACATGCATACATACATTGCATACATGTATGCGTACATACATACATACATGCATACATACATGCATGCATACATACATACATGTATACACATATACATATATGCATACATACCTACATACATGCATGCATGCATACATGCATGCATACATACATACATATGTGCATACATACATACATACATGCATACATATAAATTTATGCATATGCACACACATGGATTGGCATAAACACAATCATATGCATTAGTGGTATACACATGTAGTGGCATAAACACAATCATATGCATTACTGACACGCACACATGCATACAGCTGCACATGCACATACACGTATACGTATACATACGCATACAACACGATCTGGCACCTACACCGATATACACATACATAGATATACACATGTCTGTATGAATGCCTGCATACACATGCGAACCTAGACAAACACATAAAAATATACATAACCATATATATGCACGATTGAACATCGGCATGCGCAGAAACATAGAACTACCTACATATATGTACTTAACATGTGTGTGTGTGCCCCAAACAGCGCTTGTACTTAGAACGTCTTACGTGTCTTCTCAGGAAATTGGCTCGTTTGTCGGGTCAACCGCCTTGCTGCTGCCGTCGCTGCCCCGTCGCCGCCTCGTCGCAACCCGTCGTCTGGGCTCTTTCGCCGGGTCCGCCGCCTTGTTGCCGCCGTCGCCGTCCCGTCGCCGCCTCGTCGCCTCCTGTCGTCTGGGTTCGTTTCTGGGATCCGCCGCATTGTTGCCAAGGACGAAGCCGGGATGGAGAGCTCCAAGGACACACAGAAAGCGGAAGCAAGCCGCACGATCATTGCTGACCGAACACAGAAAGCGGATGCAAACCGCACGATCCTTGCGGACCGTCCTCATCGCGTCTAAATGGAATCCGACATGAATGCTGCACACTGGCGAGGCTCAAAGGGAAAGGTGCCGGAAGCACTCCGCCGGCCGCATTGACGCCTGCGTGTGATCATCTTCTCCCAACAACCCTCCGATTGCAAACCCAGCGCGGTCGAGGTGCTTGACGTAGAAATTCAGATACTGGGTGCCCTGCTGTGTGCGACCACGGGCGATCTTTATCTCTACCACCCCAAACTTTGTCCATTTCATCCCTTGACCCTGAACGCTGAAACGAAGACCGCCAGCCTGCCTCGCCTCCGCCCACGTCCCTGTGAGATTTACTTCTTGAAAGTACATGTCTGCGCAATGTCCACCCAAATTATGCGCCAAGGCCTCTACATGAAGCATCGTCATCTCGGCACGCTCTCCCTGCGGAATCTGTATCAAAACGTGCTTGCCGGGCTGCATCAAGTCGAACCGCTCATCAAAAATGTTCTGCAAATGCGGATCGCCAGTGGCAGCCACCGATCCGCCGGCTCCACCCGCCATGGGAGCTCCAGCAGGAAACGTCGGGTGTGGCGTCGGCCAACCTGGAGGATACGTCGGGCTGGGCGTCGGGCTGGGCGTCGGGAAGGCCGTCGGGTAGGCCGTGGGGTAGGGCGTCGGGTAGGGCGTGGGGTAGGGCGTCGGGAAAGCCGTGGGAAAGGGCGTCGGGCTGGGCGTCGGGTAGGGCGTCGGGTAGGGCGTGGGGTAGAGCGTCGGGCTGGGCGTTGGATAGGGAGTCGGGAAGGGCGTGGGGTAGGGCGTCGGGCTGGGCGTCGGGCTGGGCGTCGGGTAGGGCGTCGGGTAGGGCGTGGGGTAGGGCGTCGGGCTGGGCGTCGGGCTGGGCGTCGGGTAGGGCGTCGGGTAGGGCGTCGGGTAGGGCGTCGGGTAGGGCGTCGGGCTGGGCGTCGCCTCCGAGCAGGTGCATCCGCCACACGTCGGGCTGCTTTTGCCGAAGGTAATCTGGAAGTAAGCGCCCCTGTGGAACAGACCGTCGAGAGAATCAACCTCTACCCTGATTGTGTGCGGCCCAGCTGAAAGCGAGAATGTCTGCGAGGGCATGTTGACATCGCACATGATGCAGGTGCTGACCTGGCATGCGCTGCCCCCGTGGCCGTTTGAAGCTTGCACCGTGGTGCGCAGGACGTTGTCCACGTACAGTTCAAACTTTTCGAAGTTGGCCTCAGCGACGCCTGTCATCGCAAGGGTCAGGTCGATGGGCGAAGCGTCGTTCAAGGTGAGAACTGCGCTCCCGTGTTGCCTGGAATTCGCCACGCCACCGCAGATCGTATCGTCGTGGAAGTCGAAGCGGATGAACGCGGTGGTGCTGGACCAAGTGCCATGCACCCCATGAGAAGCGAAGGTCCACGCAGACGCGGTGTTTCCCAGTGGCGTGCAGCAGCCTTGACCCACCTGCCAGGTGCTGCACTCCGCGCGCGTGAACCGCGCGGACGTCGCGTTCTGCGCCACGTTCTCGAGCCAGCCGCTCGTTGCCAGCTGCATGCCAGACGCGCCTGATAGCCCGAGAAACACAAGAGACCAGATCATGCCAGTCGCCACCATCCCGTCTGACCGAGCGAGAAAACTCTTCTCCGCGATCCACGACTTGCTGAGTGTGCAATGTCGGCTATTGAGCCTGCATGGCCACGGCATCTTGGCACTGGCACTGGTCCCGCGCAGGGTGGTGCGAACAGGAGCACCCCTTGTCAGAAACAACATGATCGACCCACGAACCCAGAAAGGGACATGGAAATGTGAGGCATGGCAACGTTTTCAAGACACCTGATTGGGCGACGGGCAATTGCAATGCGGAGTGTATCGATCTTGGAGTAACGTGCCCAGGGCTGTGCTGTGTGCTGTGCGGTGCTGACTTGCGATATGCCATGCTGCGAGTGTGCTCTCTATAGCGTTGTGGATCGAGTCGTCCTTTGCATCCGAGTCTAAGACCGAACTGATCTGGATCTTAAGCTCGAGCTCGAGCCCACGGTCGGACAAGCGTTTCGCTCGAGACATCCTCAACGAATCCTCATGTTAGACATCCGCCTGGACGACCTGGACACGTCAAAAAAAACGTTTCGCTCGAGGCATTCTCAACACATCCTCATGTTACACATCCGCATGGGCGACCTGGACACATGAAACCAAGCGTCTTGCTCGACACGTTTCCAACACCTCCTCATGCTAGACATCCACCTCGGCGACCTGGACGCGTGAATACAAGCATTTCGCTCGAGGCATCCTGCCCACATCCTCATGTTACACATTCGCCTGGGCGACCTGGACACCTGAAAACAAGCGATTCGCTCGACACATCCTCAACACATCCTCATGCTAGACATCCGCCTGGGCGACCTGGACACGTGAACACAAGCGGTTCGCCCGAGACATCCTCAACACGTCTTCATTTTAGACATTCGTCTGAGCGACCTGGGCACGTGAAAACAAACGTGTCGCTCGAGGCCATCTCGACACCTCCTCATGCTGGACATCCGCCTGGTCGACCTGGACACGTGAAAGCAAGCGTCTCGCTCGGAACATCTCTAACGCATCTTCATGTTAGACATCTGCCTGGGCGACCTGGACACGTGAAAACAAGCGTTTCGCTGAAGACCATCTCAACCCACTAGACCTCTGGGCTGGAATGAGTTTGAGCGTTTCCTTATGTAGTTTTCTGATCCCACCAGCCCTCTGGGCGTAGGTGCTTGGAGCAGCTAGCTCTTGGCCCTCTGGGCTTCAATGGTATAGAGTCTAGAGAGATCGCTCTCTCTCTCTCTCTCTCTCTCTCCCGAGAATCCCACCAGCCCTCTGGGCGGAGGTGCTTTAGCGAGCTTCTTCTTCCAGCTTGCCTCATCCCCTTCGGGGAAGGGTGTACCCCTCCCCCTACCCACCCCCTTGGCCTGGAAGGAGGTTCGCGAGGGGTTGAAGCGTCCATGACGGCCTCAGCGAGAAGGCAAAAAACCATGCAAGGTTTTGCGTCAAGTCTGGCCTCTTTGGGGCCAAGGTTGAGTAAGCCCCCCCCATTCTTCAATCGAACTCCTGCTAGGTGGCCCCAAGATGGCCCCCAAGGTTCGCAGAAGGGCCCCACGAGGGCTCTAAAAGGCGCCCGGGAGGCCCCAAGAGGCCCGCAAGGGGTCCCCGAGAGGCTCCCCAGAGACCCCGACGAGGCCCCGGGGGGCCTGTGCTTCGCTGCGTTTGCATTGGCTTGCCGAGTTCTTCTCTGTTGTCCTTGTGTTCCGTGCCCAGGTGGGCCCTGGGCAGCCCTTGGAAGCCCCCGGGGGAGCCCTGTCAGGCCATGGGCGGCGCCCCAAGGCCCCCCAGGGCCACGGAAAACCAGGAAAACGAGGAAAGCCCCCCAAAAAACAGTGCAAGCAAGGCGTGGAACCAAGAGAAACAACAATACCATATGCTAGCACAGCGAAGAACAATGAAAAGCAGATACACCGATGATTGCACATCAAAAGCCAATGAATCCGTGATGTGTCCTTATTGTTTCGTATGGTTGTTTCCTTGTTTGTCATTGCTTGGCATTGCTTTCCTTGTTGTTCCGCGCCTGTGGGCACCAAACTATTGGCCGACGGTGAGATGGGGAGGTCACCTGCGCAGAAAGCATTCCATGTGGAAGGCAACCAACCGAAGGGTTGGAACGAGGGAGGGGAGCTTCACTTCGAACACAAATTCGACCAGTTTCTTCTCTGGCTGATTTACTACGTTGGGGAAACGAACAGAAGCCCCACCAGAGGGGAGGAGGAAGGAGAGGGCATGGGAGGGGGAGGGACGGGGAGGCGGGGAAGGTCGAAGACGGAGGGGGAGGAGAGGGAGGAGGGGAGGGGAGGGGAAGCTACTGACGGAGGCGTCCTGGGGCGCCGACCGCGCCATGACGCTCGCTGGCGGCATTGCGCATGCTCGTCGGAGGAGGGATGCGGAGGAGAGGTGGGGAGGAGGGCTTCGAAGCCAGAGCACGTCCGCTGCTGAAGGCGCGACTCCGGTCTCGGGCCAGGGCAGGGGGTGTGCCCACTCAGATATACATTCCGGTGTGAGCATACATGATCCAGGGTCGAGGGTTCCCACGAGTCCCCACCCCCAGAGAACGCGCTTCTTTATTCGCGGCGATAACGGGCGTTAGCAAGCGCCAGCAGGCTACAGCTATCGTGGACCGCAGCAGCTCAACAGGCTGGGGGATGAGAACCCGCACAGCCGCCTCAACAGAGTGAGGCTGTCAGGGAGAAGCAGGAGCGTTGGGAATAGACAGTTGGGGCTTCTGCCTATTCGTCATCCTCCGTCGTTTTTTTGTTTTCTTCCTCGTGTCTTCTCCCTGTTATCAATCAACATGGTTTGGGCAACGCTGTCGCGGGCCGAGCTTCCTGCTCACGCGCGAGACTGGGCGAGAGCCTCTAACCCACCAGCCCGACAACGAGCTTTACAGCACAACAACAAAACTGTCCCGAGTGACCGCTCCACGCAAAACAGTTGCCTGCACGTCCTCATGGCCAATCAACCGAGCTCGACTAACGCCCCAGCTTGGTTAGCGCCAAGGCGCGCATCTCCTGCTGAAGGATGTTTGGAGAAAAATGAAGTGCAGGTGACGATGTCCCACTGACATATAAGTTTGGGTTCTAGAGGGTGCGGTTCCACCTCCGGTTCTGGTTGCACAGGTTGTGTAACTTAGACCGCTTCGACATGCGGCAGCACCAGGCTTTCGAGTGTTCATCGTCTCACTGCGATGCCAAAGGAGGCTTGTATGCCGCATCCCAGGCAACGCCCTTCGAAATTACAGCCGCTGCTGGCTTTGAGCCGACCAGGAGGAGCATCAGGGTCGTGACACCAGAGAGGAACACAACAAGTGGAACAAGTAATGGCGAAATGTTTGTCAAGTCCGTGTGAAAGTCCGAGGCCTTGGCGCATTTGTAGACGATTGCCCAAAACAGATAGAATATGATAGCGAAATTGACCTGACAGGGAATTTCGACCATGTTATTAAACTTGCCATATAAGCCATAGCATACCGGGTAGAGGTATCGCATAACCACGTAGATCCACCCGAGCACTGCAGAAGTGCTGGGATTTACGAACAACGCATGCAACCACAGCACCAGGAAGAACGGGATACATTGCTCTATCGTATTGATGACACCGCGGTCAGCAATGTTGAGGGCAGTCTGCTTCTGACTCTCATCCATCTCTGCGAACTTGAACGCAATCTGGTTGCCCAAGAACGTGTACCACATGACGATCCAACCCAAAGTCACGCCGACTACCCCATATAAGTCTTCAGGACCAGGAAACCCATTCACGGCCCCACCTGGGCCAACACCGATCAGTGCGCCACCAACCAGGACAGTTGAGATGAGCAAGCAAACTGGGAGCACCGACACCGTGAAGTTTTCATCACCCCAAGGGTACTTGGCCATACTGCTTGCTCGTGGGTGTAGCTTTGCGAAGACCCCGCGGGATACCGCTTCAGGCACAGCGACGTGTGCAAGATGGCTTGAGCCGAAATGGCTACGGCATATTCGTCATCCTCCGTCGTGAGCAGCTTGCGCGGCCACCTCCGGGCTGTCTTGGGTCCCAGCCTGCTCGTAAGTGGTGTCCTCCGGGGGGGCCCTCTTGAAGTCTCCTGGAGCAGTATTGTAGCCCCCTTGGGGGAGTCTTGGAACCTTCTTGGGCCCTCTCGGTCTCGCGCCGTCCTGGGACCGTCTGGAGCCATTTCGGTCTCCTCCAGGGGACCAGTTTGGCCCACTCGGGATCCTCTTGGGGCAGTGCTGGACCAGATTGGGACCCTCTCGGGGCGCCCTCTGGCTGCTTCAAGGCCCTCTCGGAGTCATCTTCAATCGAAGCTAAAACCACGCGGGCGCTTCGCGCATGCTCAGGTTCTAGTCTAAGGCGGATCTCAAGCTCATCCTGTGCCTGCCCTCCATGTGGAAGCCAAGTTCGTCTCATTCCTCCTCGCTCTCCTCACCATCCGTCTCCTCTCCCCGCTAATCCCCACTGCCATCCTCCTCACCTGGTTCGTCCTCCTCTCTTGTCTATCTCATGACCTGACACCTGTTGCACGCACAGGCACCGACGGAAGAGGGGGAAGCAGCGATGGGGCAGCGGGAAAGGAGGGATGAGGGGAGGAGGCACGAGAGGAGAGAGGAGGCATGGAAGACAGGGAAGGGAACGGAGGCCCCCGCTTCTGCATGCGCCAATGACCGCCACGGCGGCGACGCCGCTGGCCTGCTGGTACGCTCCAGGAGGATCCCGCCCGGAAGGAAGGGCATGGAGAAGAGACGACCGATCCAGAGGGGCCCTGGGAGGCCGCCGCGGAGTCCCCGAAAGAACCGAGGCAGTACCCGAAGTCAAGTTGTGCGAGAACCTCCTTGCTCCTGGGAGGGGGGGGGGTGCTGGGGGGCCTCTTGGGGTCTCCAAGAGGGTCATAAGGGGTGCATGCTGGGAGCCATACCCGCCAGCACAGCTCGCAAGACCCCTCTCGGCCCCCCCCTGGAATCAATCCCTCTTGGCTTCCTCTCGGAGCTCTCTCGGGGCCTCTTCAGCCGCCTTGGGGGCCCCTTCAACCGCATCGGGGGGCCATCCTGGGCCCGCTTGGAACGCCTTGGGGCGACCAGGAAGGCCCCATCAGGTCGTTTTCCCGGGAGTGTCCATAAGGCTCTCTTGGGATGTTTTGGGGGGTGAGGCCATCGAAGGCCATCTCAGAGCGCTGCAAAACCTTCTTGGGCGGATTTTGGCGGTCTTCAGGGCCTCTTGGTGACTCCGAGAGGCCGTCTAAGGGCGCCTTGGCCAGCCGAGGGGCCGAAAGGGCGAAAAACACCTGGACGAAATCTGGCCCCAGACCCCGCGGGCTAAACTAGGTTAGAGCGTGCTGCCCCAAGCCCCAGGAGTCCTGACACCCGCTGAACACGTATACACACATAGGTTCCTCAAACAGCGCTTGCACTTAGAGGTTCTTACCTGGCTTAACCATCTCGGGGGGGATGGCGGCTTTCGCGGGCGGTGCCGCCCGTCGCCGCCGTCTCCGTCGCCGTCGCCAGCGCTCGGGACGAGTGGCGGTTTTTGAGGGCGGTGCCGCCCGTCGCCGCCGTCACCGCCGTCGCCGCCGCCGCCGTCGCCGCCGCTCGGGGCGAGTGGCGGTTTTTTGCGGGCGGTGCCGCCCGTCGCCGCCGTCGCCGTTGTATAGTTTTTACTTTCTTAAACATATGTTCTACCACCCTCACCCCCTGGATTCTTCCACCCCCCGGGAACCGATGCAAAACATATATGGCTATGACTCAATGTCCATCCGACCTGTGAATTCACACTATTCCAGCCAACCCGGTATCGCCCCCCCCCCGCCATCCTCTGCAACAGATATTCGACATTCGCGCACATTCGTTCATCACAAATCATAAAACCCAGCAATCCCATACAACAAATGGGACGAAGTGCGCACGCGTGCGTCGTCGCGAGCGCATGCCGAAACCCTTCAAAAACCTTCGACGCCAGAAGAACTCCTGAGTGGCAAAAACAACATATAAAAACACAAGTTTTCGCAACGCGGATGTTCAACAAAAGCATGCGCGCGCTCTTGCAAATTCTTACAAAAACCATGGCCGTCAACAACTTTCAGAAAAAACTACGAAACGGGTTCCGCGCGCGCATGTCAAAATCGTTCGGACGCCCTTGCCCGCGAGTTGCCGCGACACCCCCATTACAACGAATGGGACGAAAAGCACACGCGCGCGTCGCCGCGCGCGCATGCCGAAATCCTTCAAAAACCTGCGGTGCCGGAAAGATGTCAAAATCGACTGTCCGGAAAACGTACAACAACACAAGGTCTCGCAACAAAGATGTTCAACAAGAGCGTGCGCGCGCTCTTGCTAATTTTTGGTGCAGCAAATTGTCAATCTTTCATAACATACTACCAAACGGACTTCGCGCGCGCGCATGTCGAAATCGTCCGAACGCCCTTGCGCGCGTGCTGGGGTGGCACGATCCGTGTCAAAAAGTACCGTGCGAGCCACTCTCGCGCGTCTGCCGCGAGCGCATTTCGAATTCCTTCCAAAACCTGCATCACCGACGCGAAGGCGCCGTCATCGTCGCCAGCGTGATCGGCACCCGCGCCGTCAATCGCCACTATCATCACCACCGCCATCATCATCATCAGCATCATCATCATCACCATCATCATCATCATCCTCATCAGCATCATCATCATCATCGTCATCGTCATCATCATCATCATCATCATCATCCTCATCATCATCATCATCATCATCATCATCATCATCATCATCATTATCATCATCATCATCATCGTGTCTACAACGATCGCCACCAACATCGCCACTATCATTGTCATCGTGTCCACAAGTGCCGAAGTCGCCATGATACCGCACCCGACCGAGCCGCCGACTCGCACTCAAGTTCCCGCTGGGATGTGCCGAACGGTCAACACCACCGCGGCCTCGTCGGTCGCGCCAAACTACATGGCCGCTGCGCGCGCGCATGCGCGGGCTGGCGCGGCCGCAGAGATGCACCAGCCAGCGCCAAGCACTCATCGCAGTCGCCGCCGCATGAGGTTTGCAAACCAAGTTGCGGGTGGGTGGGTGGGATGGTTGCGCGAGCAGTGGAGTGGACAATTCACTGCGAACAGAAATTAATTCTCCTTTCTAAAAAGAAAACTAGGTTCTACCACCCTCCACACCCCCGGATTTAACGATCCCCCCTTTTCGTATGCAAATTCCAAATGATTATGCCCCATCGCCCATCCTAAATATGAATTTACACTATCCCAGGGGCCGGCATCGCCCCCCCTCGCCACCCTCTGCAATTACCCTGGCGACGCAACCAACCCCTGCGCAATGCGGGGCAGGAGTAGCTTGTGAGCATGTACTTTTGCGAGCGGCAGTCGGAAGGTTCGCAGATCCCCAACCAAGGGAAAAACGATGAGTAACTAAGTGAACCCCTGAGTCACTGAGGAAAACGCAAGGTCCAAAAGGAGACTGTGGGCAGGGGACTTGCTTGAAACGTCGGCGGGGCAGCATCAACATGACGTGGCCGCCCAGGGACGGCGAGGTCCTGCTCAGGTCTGCGAAGCGCCTCACTCCGCTGGACCCACCGGCAGACCTCGAAAGCGGCGAGCCCAACAGCAGCCCGCGAAAGTGGCGACACTTTCGCAGGTAACCCCCCAGGGACGGGGAGGTTTACGTCGGGCCCGCGCGGTGCTTCACCCCGCTGGACCCACCAGCAGCCTTCGAAAGCAGCGACACTTTCGCAGATCGCAGCTCCCAAGGGACGGCGAGGTCTACCTCAGGTCTGCGCGGTGCCTGACTCCGCTGGACCCACCACCAGCCCTCGAAAGTGGCGACTGCTTCGCAGATCGCAGCCCCCCCCCCAGGGACGGCGAGGTCTACCTCTGATCCGCTGCGCTGGACCCGCCAGCAACCCGCGAAAACGGTGACAGTTTCGCGGATCGCAGCCCCCCAGGGACGGCGAGGTCTACCTCAGGTCCGCGCGGTGCCTCACTCCGCTGGACTCACCAGCAGCCCACGAAAGCGGCGACAGTTTCGCAGATCGCAGCCCCCAAAGGACGGCGAGGTCTACCTCGGGCGCGCGCAGTGCCGCACTCCGTTGGGCCCACCAACAGCCCGACAGGTTCGCAGATCGCAGCCCCCCAGGGACGGCGAGGTCTACCTCAGGTCCGCGCGGTGCCCCACTCGGCTGAACCCACCACCACACAGCGAAAGCGGCGACACATTCGCAGATCGCAGCCCCCAACGGACGGCGAGGTCTACCGCAGGTCCGCGCGGTGCCTCACACTGCTGGACCCACCAGCAGCCCTCGAAAGCGGCTACATTTTCGCAGATCGCAGCCCCCAAGGGAAGGCGAGGTCGACCTCAGGACCGCGCGGTGCCTCACTCCGCTGGACCCACCACCAGCCCTCGAAACCGGCGGCAGTTTCGCAGATCGCAGCCCCCCCGGGACGGCGAGGGCTACCTCAGGCCCACGCGGTGCCTCACCTCGCTGGACCCACTAGCAGCCCCCGAAAGCGGCGACAGTTTCGCAGATCACAGCCCCCCAGCGACGGCGAAGAGAAGGCAGGATCAGGAAGGAGGCGGGGGGCGGGAGGCGGGAGCAGGGAGACGCGACCCCACCGCTCCATTCAAAACGGATACCCAACCAAGGGGGGGTGGGAAACAATACTACGCGCGCACACTCGGTTATCACAAATCATAAGTTGCCAAAAACTCCGTTGCAAAAAGCGGGTCGAAATACACACGCGCGCGTGGTCGCGCGCGCATGCCGACATCAAAAACCTCCAGGTCCAGAAAAAATGCCAAAATCCATTAGCCAAAAAAATGTATAGCTTAGAAATGGTCTCGCAGCACGGGCTTCCCCCCGCACCACCCCACACCACCCCGACAAAAAAAACGTTCGCGCGCGCTCTTGCGAATCCCGAAGAAAGCCATAGGTTTCCAACATGTCCTAAAATGCTACCAAACAGGCTTCGCGCGCGCATGCCGAAATCGTTCGGACACCCTTTGCGCGCGTGCCGTCGCGAAACTCCCTGGCAACAAATGGGACCCGTCTTCGGCTTCGGAAAAAATCGAACGGCCAAAAATATAAACACACAAGGTCCCGCGACACGGGTGACAACGATAAAAGAGAAGAAACAAAAAACGTGCGCGCGCTCTTGCGAATCCTTAATACGGCCATGCGGTGTTCAACATTGTTCCTAGAATGTTACCAAACGAGTTTCGCTCGCGCGCATGTCGAAATTGTTCGAATGCCCTTGCACGCATGATGGAGTGGCACGACCCGTGTCACAAAATACCATGCGAGCCACTCTCGCGCGTCTGCCGCGCGCGCATGTTGAATTCAACCGAAAACCTGCATCTCCGACGCGAAGGCGGCGCTTTCGCTGGCTGCCCCGCCGTCGCTCCCCGCATCGTCACCAACATCGCCACGATCGTCATCGTGTCCACAAATGTCGACGTTCCCATGATACCGCGCCCGCCCATGCCGCCGACTCGCGCTGAAGTGTCCGCTGGGATGTGCCGAGCGGTCAGCGCCACCGCGTTCGCGTCCGCCGCGCCAAACTAGCTGGCCGCTGCGCGCGCGAGCATGCGCGGGCTAGCGCGGCCGCAGGGATGCACCAGCCAACACCCAGCACTCATCGCAATCGCCCCCGCATGGGTTTTGCAAACCAAGTTGCGGGTGGGTGGGTGGGGTGATTGTGCGAGCAGTGGATCTGACAACTTGAAGTTCTCCAAGTGAATTGCACCACCTCAACTGCACCGCATAGACTGCAAGAACCTACTGTTTGGAGCCAACGCTGGCTGTGTACGTATACACACATAGATATGTATGTGTGAAAACCTGCACAACCAGAAATGCACACATACATGCACACATGCATGCGCGCGCGCATACATGCATGCATACACTACGTACGTGCATACATACAGACATGCATAAATACGTGCATGACTGCATACACGCACACATATCCACCACCGTGCCGCTGGGCACCGAATGGGCGCGTCCTCAGGTCGGTTGCTCAATCCCCAAAGCCTCATATACATACGCATACACACACGCATGCGCATGCGCAGACGCATACGCATACGCATACGCATACGCACACATGTACGCGTGCACACAAACATGCACATGCACATGCATATGCACATATACACACAGACACATGCTCCTACACATACACACATAAGCACCTCTCAATTATATAATCATTTACATAAATGGATACCAAAACGTAACACCCCAAATTTGCTGATAAGAGTGCAAGGGCGGCGACGGGGGGCGAAAGTATGCTCCCGCAAATCACCCCCGCATGCCGCTCCCAAATATTGCCCCCACGCGTTGCCCCCACGCATTGCCCCCCAAATATCGCCCACGTGGTCTGCCCCAAAGCTTCGCCCCCAAACATCGCCCCCAAAGTTCGCCCCGCGCCGTGCCCTCGTGGATTGCCCCCACGTGCGACTCAAAAGAGTCGCCCCCGTAAACTGCCCCCAAGCATTGTGGAATGCCCCCATGGGTTGCCCCCGTGCACCGCCCACATGCATTGCCCACGCGCACTGCCCAAAAGAATCACCCCAAAGTATCGCCCCGCCCCCGCGCATCGCACCCACGCGTTGCCCCCAAGCATAGCATCCAGGGACAGAGACCTCCATCCAGCCACGCACGCGAAGAGAGGAAGTAAGACCACCACCCCCGACTCTGGCAAGCCGATCCATATGTGCGTATATATCTATATCCATATACATATATACATATGCGGCAGCCCCACCCACACACACACACACACACACACACACACACGCACACGCCCACATGATCATACATATTCGCCTTCACCGCGGCCGCCGATCGATATCTTCTTTCTCCGTTCCCTTCTCCTGTCTCTTCCTTTCTCTCCTCCCCCTCCTCCTCTTCCCCCATCCTCCCCCCCCCGTGCTATTCCTTCTCGGAATCATCGAAATCACACACACACACACACACACACACACACACACACACACACACACACACACACACACACACACACACGCACACACAGGAAGAAGAAGAAGAAGAAAAAAATGATATATATATATATATATATAAGAAAAAACTTCCCAGAGATAATGTTTGTTTTTTGTTGTTTCTGTTTTTTTATGTGTTGAAGGTTTTCTTTGATGTTGGCGATTTCGCAAATCTCGCCCCCCCCCCCCCCCTCCTCCTCCTCCTCCTCCGTCTCCTCCCTCCTCCTCCCCCCCCCTCCTCGCCCACCCCCTCCCCCTCCTCCTCCCCTCCGCCTCCACCTTCTCCCTCTTCTCCTCCCCCCCCCCCCCCCCTCCTTCTCATCTCCTCCCCCTCTCCCCCTCCTCCGTTGCGCCGCCGGCCGTCAGCATGGGGGTAGGTACCGCAATTCCACCGATTGCTACCCAATCTGTCGCAACCGTTGCGCTGCTATGTTTCCAGGCGGAGCGCACGCATCGAGGTCTACAAAAGATGGTGGTTCATACGTGCGCGCACGCATCGCACCGACTGCCATCGACTACGACTGCGTCGCGCATCATGCGCGCTCGCACGGCGCGGCCGCCTCCTCAGTCAGCCTCGCTGCGGCGCGCCGTCGCCGACTCAGAGGGCGGCCCCCCCTCGTCAAGCACGCGCGCGAGCTCTGCCGACAGACCGTCGCCATCCTCGACGTCGATCGTTTCACCGTGGGCCGAGGCGGCAATGGAAGCGAAGATCGCCCTCTGCTCATCGGCATCCACGGGCGACAACGGACCACCGCAGCCCATCATGAGCCCCCTCGCCCTCTTCACTGGCAGAGGCGAGGACAAGTCCTCGAACGCACCGTGGCGCGCCTTGGCGAGGCTCTTGAAAATCGCGAGCTGCTCGCCCTGGTCCTCCTTAGTGAGCTCGCCGCAACGCCCAACGATGTTGGGCTGCGCGGAGCTGGCGGCGCGCGAGCTGTCTTCTGGCGGTTCGTCCATTCCGCCGCCGAAGCCGAACGCGGCCTCCTCCTGGGACAACTCGGTTGGCGGCTGGGAAAACGCCGAAGCGGCCGCGGCGGCTGGCGGAGCGCTGGCCGCGCCTGGATCGAACCCTGAAACGTTGCCGACAGCGGAGACAACGCGCGCAGGGCCATCGCCGAAGATAGGAGCAACATGGACAGTCGAAATAGTGGGCACGTCAAGGCCCGCGACCACATTGCTCATGCACCCAATCGACCAAGCCATCTTTTCGGCGTAGTCTGAGGGGAGCGGGCGGATGGCTGGCGACGTCGTGTCCCGCACTTCGCTGACGAAGAGGTCGGGGCCCCTGGGGTTGGGCCACGGCATGAAATCTGCACCATCCTGCAGGTTGGCGGATGCCACGCGCCAATGCACGCCGAGGTCCGTCACCACGATGACGCGCGCCCTGGCGAGGATGGCGTGGAAGTCCTCCTCTGTCCTGACATCCCCCAGAGACGGCGCGATGATACGCTTGAGCAGGTCGAGGCCGTGCTTGTTTAGCGTCGCGGCATCCAGCGCCGCCTTCTCCGCGTCGCGGTCGTAGGGGTTCGCGACGGCCTGTCTGCACGACCCTTGCTCGAAAGCGCAGCCGCCCCACCGAGCCAACAGCAGAGCGCGCTCTTCCTTGGGGTTCAAGAAAGCCTTGAGCACATCAGCGGATACCCGCAAGCGGCCAAGCATTCGCCCGATCACCAACGCCACCGCGACTTCCACTTGGGAAGGCGATGCGGTGGGAAGAACCGCAGTCTCCCTGGAAGCCGCGGGCGGCAATGGCGTGGGCCACGCCAGGCCACCGAACCTTCTGAAGCAGGCCGTCGTCGAAAATGCCAGGGAGGATCTCCGTCGTCGGCCCGCACTTGAAGAAATCCACGTGCTTCACCGTCAGGAAAGCGATCTCATCGGCGGCGCCCTTCTTCTGTATGCTGTGCGCCAAATGAACCCAAGCAAGCGTTTTCGAACCGTTGCTCTTGCCAACTCTGGACTTCCCGACCCACGGCACCCCGCGCATGCGGAGTGTGCCAATCATCAGGCGGAGGACGCCATTGAGGAACCAGCCAGAGAAGTCCTTTAGCGTCAAACTCCAGCGCGAGGTCGGTTTGGCATTCGTCCTGTCCCCCTGGCAGTTGCGCAGCGCAGTCTCCACCTTGGACGCAGGCCATCCGAATATATTCGAACCCTCCCTGTTGACCTCTGTGCCAACCCATGTCATGAACTGGTTCCTGTTATTGCTGCGGGGATGCGGATGAACGTGTAATCCTGCGCGCGCTCGCCCTCCTCTAGCGGCTGCTTCCGCTCGCGCTGCGGCTCGATCGTGAAGCACCTTGCGGTGGAAGCGCTGGATAGGCATACATTCTGTGAGAAGCCCAGGGGGTCCCGATCGCCGGGTCGCCACAGACAGGGCGCCCAACTCGTTTTGAAACACGGGGCGGGGGAAAATGCGCCTGAGCTGGGGCGGGCAGGAGGGGGGTCCTTGTCCGAGCGCGCCCACCGTATTTGATAGCCCTCGAGCTTCTCCAGCACGAACTGGAACGCAATCGACCCCGTCCGAAAGTTTTGGCCGTAGTCGATGTTGTGGGCCTCCCCGCGAGCACACTTGAGGGTGGTCGCAGAATCTGCTGCTTTTTTCTCGAAAGAAAAGACCTTGAGGATGCGGCATGCCGAACACTCGCTGTCCTCTGGCTTCTGGCGAACGATGAAGATCTGCATCGTGCACGGGCCGACGGGCTCCTACTTGAGCGACAGCGGCTCCTGCAAGTCCTTGAACTTACCCTGTGCGTACAACTCGTGCACCTTGTCGAAGACAATCGGGCCCTCGTAGTTGGATACCACGTCGGCGAAAGCGACCAACTTCGCGGCACTCGAATTCGCGATCGGTAGCAGAGGAAGGTCGAAGATAGAAAGGCCACCAGCGAAAGCCAACCTGCCTTTCTTGACGCACTTCGAGGGGTGGTAGTCTAACTTGCTACCGCTGACCATCAACGACGCCTCCTCAAAGGCGAGCTCGCCGCCCCCCTCGGCGTCGCACGCAACCTGCCCCAGCGACTGCACCTGGTCAGCAGGGGCGCTCGCCATGATCCGCGGCGAGAGAAAGGCGGGTCGGGCGGTGGCCTCGGATGACGGGCAACAGCGCGCAAGCGTTGATCACAGACGGCAGCGGATGCCAGCTGAGCACCTGGGGAGGGAGCGACGACGACGAACGATGCACACTGAAGATGGAAGTAAGAAGTAAGAGGGCGTGGGCACGACGACGATGAGTCAAAGATGCGGCACGGCTGCGGTGGGGGCAATCAACGCGACGTCAATCACGCGCACTCGGGAACACATGCGCGCTGTATAAAAACACACCCCTCGACATCGGCACTCCGCAATAAAAAACACACCCCTCGACATCGGCACTCAGCACGCCGCGCCCGCGACCTCCCAGATGGCATCCGCGGTGGCCGCCCACATATCCTCGCCCTTGTTCCAGCACTCGAACTGGACCGAGCGAACCGAAGCCGCGAGACGCCTGCTGCCTGGGAGGTCCGCGCGCGTGCCAATGAGGGTTTTGAAAAACCTCCAGGCGCGGTCGATGATCTGCGCCCCTGCCTTTACCCTGATCTTGGAGACGCCGGGCAACTTGCGGGTGACAACCTTCGAGTAGACTGGCCTCAACCAAGCCCACTTCCTGTCGATCTTCTTCCGCTTCTCGCAGTGCACGACGTGGTCGCGCACGAGCCCCGACGCGCGCATCTTGTAGCTGCGGGCCCCGTCAGAGCGCAAGATGACCTCACTGTTCTCTAAGCGGCTTTATAGGGACGGCGCCCAATCCATATTCTTGATGGCGCCTAAGCCTGGCGCGTTGGCCTCGGCGCCGCCTGACTGGGTCTTCCACAGAACGAGGCTATCAGGGCGCCCGCGCTCGACGACGCCCGCCCACTGTTCCCACGTCCTGGAACGACCGTCGTCGGACAGCTGGGCGCGGAAGACCGACTCATCCGCCTCCACGTCGAACCAGCGCCGCTGAGCTCCGTCGCCGAAGGCAACGTTGGGTTCGTTCTTTTCCACGTAGATCTGCCACGCGGTTGCCGCGGCCGCGCTCATGTCCTCGATCATCTTGCGGCTGGCACCTGTCAGCAAGTGCATCTGGGCGGTGGTCATGCCGAGCGCGAGGCAGAAGAGGACCTCGGCCTTCGTCGACAAACTCGACGAATGGCAACCCCCGCCAGACTTGAAGACGGGGCGGGCGGTGCACGGGTCGACGGTCTCGGCGCGCAGCCTACCGCCGTTGCGTCGCCAATGCGGGCCGCGACTGCCATCCTGCACCCGCGCGCCGCAGGTTCCCACGCCGCAGTGAGGGCAGGCGCGGCCTTCCCAGTCAAGCAGGACGCCATCCTCGAGGAGCAGGTCTACCATCTGGTCCGCAGTTTCCCCGTGGAAGCTGTCGTAATTGCGGCGCCAGGTTTCGCGCTCCCTGCGGGATTTCACGGTCCTCTTCCCGTGGCGCGCGTACTCGACCTTCTCCGCTTGCTTCCTGCGCTGGCCCATCCTGCCCTTGCCCCTCTTGCGCAAGGGGAACGGCCTGAAAGCACTCGCAGGCCGCTTCTTCGGCGCGGAGGCGGCAGCAGGGCGTTTGATAGCACGCTTTCCCATCGCCGACGGCGGCGGAACGGTGGCCCAGACGGTCGGTTGAGAAAAACGCACTGAGCCAAAATGCGCCGCGGGTGGGACTGGGGCCCTCCTTGTCTGGAGGTTCGTCGGCTTCCTCTGGTCGTGGCGGCGGCGCTGTCGGTAGTTATGGTAGGAGTGGTTGTAGTAGCAACAGTAGTAGCGGTGGTAGTAGTGCTAGTCGTCGTAGAGCTGTAGCAGCAGTAGTTGCAATAGGAATGGCAGTGGTAGTCGTAGTAGAAGAACAAAATCCCGACGACGCCCGTATCAGAGAGGGCATCCTAAAATCAGGATACCATTTTGCGCAGCGATGCGCCTGTTCACGTTAGACTGAACATGCTTGTCGGCGGCTCCATCGTCGCCTGCTTTTCTGGGCGGGTGGTTCGTCTCGCTGTCTTCACGTCGTCATTGCACCGTTTTTCCTACGACGCCCGTATCGGAGAGGACATCCTAAAATCAGGATACCATTTTGTGCAGCAGTGCGCCTGTTCACGTTAGACTGCACTTGTTTAACGGCGGCTCCATCGTCGCCTGCTTCCCCGGGTGGGCGGTTCGTCTCGTTGTATTGATGCCATCATTGCACAGCTTTTCCTACGACGCCCGTATCAGAGAGGGCATCCTAGAATCAGGATGCCCTTTTTGTTGCAGCAATGCGCCTGTTCACGTTAGACTGAACATGCTTGTCGGCGGCTCCATCGTCGCCTGCTTTTCTGGGTGGGTGGTTCGTCCTGTTGTCTTGATGTCACCATTGCACCGCTTTTCCTGCGCGGCATCCTGCCGATGCCGTTGCGCATCCCCTCCTGCCTGGCAGAAGCGCGTTCCGCCCTCCATTTCCCCTGGTCCGCCCCCTCCTCCTCCTCCTCCCCTTCCTCCTCGGACGGCCCCCTGCTGCGCCTCTGGTCGTGCTCCCCGCCGCGCCGTGCCTCTCTCTTCCCGTTAGCGAGCGAAGCGTTCTTTGGCCTCGAGGCGGGCTCCTAGAGCTTTGCCAAGTTGTCCTGAGAAAAGCGCAGGATGGCCCTCAAGTGGGTGACCCTCCAAGTCGCCCAGCCCCTCAGAAGCTTCGTCGCCTTCGGCGGCAGCTCCTGGTCGCACACGCGCGAGAAAGCCTCGAACCAGGACTTCCAGGCCCTGAGGGCCTTCGCGTCTGCAGCTCCCTTCGCCTGCGCGTCCTCCTCGGCCGCGTTGCTCTCGGCCAGCTCCCCCGTCAGTTTCCGCACTCGCGCCTGCGCGGGCGAGGCAGCAAGGCACCCGAACAGACGGGTGGGGATTTCGGCGGCGTGGGCTCGCTGGAGTTGCGTTTGCTTCGTGTTTGGTGCTCTTTGCTGGCGTTGCTGTTGTTGCGGTTGCGGTCGTTGCGGCTGCGGCCGTTGCGGTTGCGGTCGTCGCGGTTGCTGCCGTCGCGGTTCTTCTATGCGCAGTTGCTTCGTGCGTCTGCGTCCTGCTCGGTTGCCCTTGCGTCGTTGCTGAGTCGCCCTTGCTGCGCGTGGTGCGTTTGCCGTCGTTGCGACGTTCCTCGGTGCCGGTCCGTATTTTGCGGTTGCAGGCAGGGCGGTGGTGGTGGTGGAATTTCAAGACGTCGTGTCCCGAAGCTGCTCGTTGGACCACGCACGCTGCTCGGCGAGCCCCCAGTTGCCCGCCGCCTCGCCCTGGCACCACTCAACCTGAGCACGAGCAGGCGGGACAATGCGTTTATATGTTTGGAGATGTTTGAAGCGCAAAGAGGAGGATAGATCGCACTCTGCCCTTCCAGGTCCGCGATCTTGTTCAACAGCGGCCTCTGGAATCGCATATTGAGCTCGTGCTTCGCCGCGTTGGTCCTGTCCTTTTTTGTACGATTGCCTTGTACACGCGGTTGTTCTCGAGCTTGCGGTCGTACTGTTCCGCGCCGTGTTCGGGGTTGCCCATGGTTTCCCAGCGGGGCGCTGGCTAAGCGAAGCAACGGCCTTGAACACGCGTGCGCTGCACGAAACAAAAAACGAGAAGGAGAACGAGTGAAGAAGGAGGAAGAGGAGGAGAAAAAGGAGGGGGAGGAGGACAACGGGGAGGGGGAAGAGGAGGAGGAGGAGGAGGAGGAGGACGAGGAGGAGGAGGAGGAGGAGGAGGAAGAGGAGGATGAGGAGGGGGAAGAGGAGAAGGAGAAGGGGGAGGAGGAGGAGGACGAGGAGGAGAAGGAGGAGGAGGGGGAGGGGGGAGGGAGCAGGAGGAGGAGGAGGAGGAGGAGGGGAAGGAAGAGGGGGGGAGGAGGAGGAGGAGGAGGAAGAGGAGGAGGAGCAGGAGGAGGAGGAGAGAGAGGGACATCAGGAACATGAGGAGGACGCAGAAATTAGATGCAGAGGTTGATGAATAGAAATGGGTTGCAACCGATTGTAACGCGGTCGCTTGGATTGAAATGCGCCGCGAAAGATGGAGCTGATCCCTAAGCTTGCAATCCATTGAACTGCATCCGTTTGGACTGCAATCAAATGGGTTTCGACTGCCAGCGCATCAACACATCATGAAGAAGAGCATGATGAGGGAAAGGCGATGAACACTGGAGAGATGAAAGGAGAATGTGTATGATCATGGGGGGGGCGAGCATATATATATATATATATATATATAGATGAATACGTATATCTATGTATACACCCAAGTTGTTGTTTATCTGGTTTGATATAAATCCGCCGGCCCCCTTGCGGGGCCACCAGGCTGTAGACAGGGATTGTGCTGCTCCCTGTACCAGTTGCACCTTCCAGTTTCCACTGTTACAGTTTTGCTTCTTGCTGCTTACTTTTCCTTGTTGATGAACGCGCGAGGGGGGAGGAGCCCAAACCAGCAGAACTACCACGCCTTCGGAAGGTTCTCAGAATTTCTGGGGGGTAAAAACTAACACCCCTCACGCAGATCCGCAGGGTCAGGATCAAAAAAACACAGGATTTGACACATGTCTGAAAATCTGTTACACCCCTCACGCAGATCCGTAGGGTCAGGGTCCAAAAACACAAAGGATTTGCTACATTTCTGAAATTCGGTGGCACCCCTCACACAGATCGGCGGGGTCAGGGTCCAAAAACACAGGGGATTCGCTACAATTCTTAAATCCGGTGGCACCTCTCACACAAATCCGTAGGGTCAGGGTCCAAAAACACACAAGATTTGCCACATTTCTGAAATTCGGTGGCACCCCTCACGCAGATCCGCAGGGTGAGGGTCCAAAAACAAAAAGGATTTGCAACATTTCTACAATCCGGAAGGACCCCTCACGCAGATCCGCAGGGTCAGGGTCCAAAAACAAAAAGAATTTGCCACATTTCGGAAATCCGGTGGCACCCCTCACGCAAATCCGCAGGGTCAGGGTCTAAAAACACTAGGGATTTGCCAAATGTCCAAAAATCGGTGGCACACCTCACGCAGATCCGCAGGGTCACGACGTCTTACCAACCGCCAATTGTGGTAACCCCTCTGGTGATCAAGTGGTTTTGCTCATCACGAGTCGGCCACGCATGAAGTTCCGATACTGCTTCACGACAGCGCCAAAGCCTCATGACGTAGCTCTCGCATAGCGCACTATCCGAGAGAGGGCCGGCGGCAGGGGGCGAAGCCCTTACGGATAAAAAAACAACAACAAAAAATGTCGATACATATATATATATATATATATATATATACAATTATACACATAAACATGGACATAGCCATAGGCATGCCTCCACAATCGCGAGTGCATCTGCATATCTATATATCGGAGGTGAGTAGGTGAGATCGAAGTGGAACGGAAAACCCCCTACCGGGAAATCGGTTTCGGTTTCGTGTTCGTGCGCGCCGTGCGTGCGGGCGAGGCGAAACTGCGTGGGCGGGCGAGAACAAAGTCTCCTCTGGCTGAGGCGCGGCCGGACCAAATGATTTTTTTTCCGGGGGCCGGTGGCCCGCGGTGTCCCGCCGGTATCCCGACTCCGGCTGAGGCGCGGCCAGACCAAATGATTATTTTCCGGGGGCCCGCGGTGTCCCGCTGGTGTCCCGCCGGTGTCCCGTCGGTGTTCCGATGATGATGATGATGTTGATGATGATGATGATGATGATAATGCTGATGTTGATAATGATGTCGGTGATGTTGATGATGGTGATGATGATGGTGATGGTGGTGATGATGG